CGACTTAAACTCATTGAAACGACGACACACAAAAGGTTACCTAACCACTGCGCCCATCCCCCACACCAAGGTTACAAATTCCCTGCAATGTCACTGAAATACACGATACAGCACTGGCACATATTAATACAGCTTCAAATATTTCTAACGTTTTCATAACATTGTGCTGTAAAAACAAACATTAAACTAAACATTTTTAAATATATATATATAAAAAATATAAAATGAATGTTGAGTATAAGTCAATAAAGTCTGGAATGTAAAGTAAGTAAGAAATTCCAATGATAAATCCCAAAATAATGCGAAACCTTTCTTCAAATTATCTTCTTGTCTTCCAGCTCGATACTTTTTAACCAACACATTTCCCTCAAACATGTCCGCCTTCTTCCCCCATTCCCTGCGCAGGGTGGGGGAGGGGAGTCATGTGACGACTTGTGCCCGTTCATCAAATCTGGACACGTGGCATTCTGCAAACACCGCGATAAAATGTGTTCAACGCGAGCCCGAGCTCATAAAAACACCGTGTCCATATCCAGAGAGACGCGCAGATTATTCGCCACAATTAGGCGAATAAAGTTGTCGAAATATCCGAACAAAGGACATACTTTCCGTCGGATTTGGCTCGTTCTGATTGGCCAGGCGTGACCACGTGACTAAAAACGATTGCAGTTTTACTGATTGCGCTGTTTGCCGAACTCTTGCACCTGTAATCCGTTTATGATCGCCATAATAATCCACATCTCATTTGTCGGAGTTTGTCAAAGAAAAATACTGACATCTGTTTTTTTTCTTCTGATCGTGATTGCTGTCGATCTGCGTCTGCGTTGCACCATGAAACAATGCGCATGCGCTTATCCCACGTAGACGCCTTGCCAACAATGCCCCCAGTGTGCAAGAGCGACGCTGATCCAGGAGCAGTTTTACCCATAAAGTACGTTCTTGTGTTCTGCACTGAGTGTTCCCTGGAAGGAGGTGGGATTCAGCTGGAAGTGATGAGTGTTATTTTACAGATTAAAGCAGGAAAAGGGGATAAACAGGGGGTTTTATATAAATAGTTTTTTAACAACAATTTAACTTGTTCTGACATTAAACTACAATCTATTCCTTCCCCTACCCTGTCCTATCTAGTATGTATGTCTCTTTATACGCATATCCATCATCTCCGCTTTTGTCTCTATTTTTTAATGTAATTTTGAAAAATGCTTTTGGTATTTCTCTAGTCTTGTTATTTTTCAGGTATTATGTGCCTGTGGAGCGTTATGTACACCTTGTGTGTATTTGTATTTCAAATAAGACTTGAAAATGGACAATAAGCTTCACTGAAGTAGTCCCTGATGAGTCGAGACTTTTGCATCACGTTAAAGTGGAGTTATCATTTCACTGCTGGATTCCAATGAGATTATCAGACAC